AACTTTTTCTTTCTAGTTTCTACAACTTTTCATTTTTGAAACTTTAGCTATATCCTTCTGTGAGTAAAATTTCATTGAAAAGCTTTTCAGCGGAAAGATAAACTTTCTAACATACTTTTGCAAGATAATGTTGAAAATGTAGAGAGTTTTTCACGAATACAGATAATCTCTAATATCTGATTGTTTTCTTGTGTATTGTTATAGCACTCGCAACCATATAGATGTTAAATAAAAGAAAAACTAATACGGAGGAGGAATTCATAGAAAAAGTGCTCTTGGAACTACTTTATATTCGAATTCACACTGATATACAATTCTTGATTCTGAATGAAACTTTTTTTTTATTATGTCATATGAATGATCGAGAATGAAGAAAAGACTTTAATGTCTATTTTATGTCACCCATTTTATCTCTTTCCTAACATTCAATGAACGATGACATCTAGTAGTGTCATTAATTTTTAAGTTAACTGAAAACCATTCCATATGATGAATTAGGTGTTTGTTCTTTCTTTGCATCAGAAAATGCTATCAATTGATGTTCATTTGTCAAATCTAGACAAAATTGTTACCTAGAAGAATTTTGCTAACTTATTCAGTTTAAATAAGAAGAACCTGTCGAGCATAGTAGTTAATATTCAAGTCTTATTGATTTTGAATAGGCTAGCAGAATGATTCACATCGATTCTATTATAGATAGTTTCAGATCATTTGAATACTAACATTGACTCAAACTTTTATCATCTTTTTAGAAGTAACTGCTCAACATCTATGGCATTCTAACCATTTTGTAATCAAGTGATTAAGACCCACAAATTAATCCAAGGAACTAAAGTACACAAATAATTTTGTGACGTATTGGTAGGAGTGTCATTTTCAAGTACTTCGGAATATAGTACATCCATTAGAGTATGAGTCTTGATACCATTATCCGATAGTAATGCAGTTGAATATAGTGTACCAGTGAGATATGAGTGAACATATCACAGTTTGTAAGTAACAAAATATTTTTCTCAAAAACAGAACCGAAGAAGTAAAGACTGGTTGAACTACAAAGATTTTAGAATTATCAAGTGAATAATAGATGAAGGAACATTTAAAAAAAATAAAAGTTTTAGAATTCATGCAAATAAAAAGACTTGATATAATGTAACTAAAACTTATTTAATACGGAAACAAAGAATTTCAAGATGATTTTTTCTGCATTTATGTTAAAACTTACTAGCAATGAAGATATTTGTAGTGTGCGTTGAAATGAATAGACATATTAGGATCAAATGAAAGGTCTCATTGCCAAACTAACAAATTTAAAATATAGGATGCCTTTGACTTGCCCTCAGGAATACAATCGATTTTTCAAATATTCAGAATTCGTGTAAAAATAAGAATACTACGATTATTTGCATTAGTCTTTTACTCCTAAATTTTAAATTTGAATTCAATTGAAATTTCAAGTTTCGAAATTCAACCGTAACAGTATACAAAGGAAGTGGAACGATAAGGGCATTTTTCTTCCCAGAAAGTTTGCGGACAACAAATATATGGGCATAGTAATTTGATCATGGGCTACAACATGGGCGTATTTACTCACTTTAGTTCAACATCAAAACTTTTGCACCTATACTTCCTGAGGGTGTGGATGTGGATGGGTGTGAGTGGAAAGTACAAAATGACACCCACACTCGACACAGTCTACTGTTTTGTTGTATATTGAGGAAAGTCGAGGGTGTGGGTGTAGATATAGGATCTAGTCCTGTCTGGATACATACCCACACCCACAATAACAACAATCAACCAAAATTACGAATCTAAATGAAGAAACAACATTATGTTTATCTCAGAAACATTCTCTAGGGGAAATGAATATTTATTGGTGAAGGAGAAACGAACTTTTTGGAGTGAATTCCATAGATATATAGTTTTTTCTTTTTTTGTCGACATTGATCAATGAAAGAATCTACGTCATGATAATATACTTTGCTTTTTATCAGAGAAAACATGTAATTGAGTGTTTGCTGTTACATCATACATATCGAATAGAATTGAAAAACGTAGAATCGATTCGATATTTATGATTAAATAGTTAATTTTGAAATTTGTCTTTGCATAGTCTGTGGAAACTGCTGGACTTCAAAATAAATTATTAGTTTCCAAGGTTCTTTCTGTTCTCTTCGGATATTACAGCAAACAATGGCGTCCGATGAGCAAACATCATCCAATGAATAATCAATATTTCATTCAATTGGCACGATATATGGCTTTTTCGTTTATCTACTCAAACAGAAAATATATGCAAGAAAAAAAAAACACTATTGAGTCATATGTTGTGATGGTAAAACAAAATGAGGACATTATTTTAAAAGTAACTTGTGATAAATAATATTTGAATCAATCGATGTATATCTAATGTTTTATCTCGTATTGAGATAATCTCTACAAAACATGAAATCATTTCTTATCTGCATTCTGGTCTATATTATCAATGTTTTTCATCTTCTGCCATTCTGAATATATATAAGACAATTTCCATATTACGTTCAAAAAAAAAAGCATACATTAATGAAAACCTTTCTATTTTTTCAGTTTTATTGAAGAAACTTCACGTATGACATCAGATGCCTGTATTTCTTATTCAATGAATAAGAGAAAACATAAAGATACATGCATCTAATTATATGACACACACACACACAAGAAAAACGTTCTGAAATATTTCCAAAAATTTTTATAACATTTTACAAAATTTAAAGGATTATAACTTCTGAATAAATACATGGTTGTAGACGAAATTCGATGTACATTATGAAGAAATCCTAAAACAAACAATATTAATAAAACCAAAGAAAAAAAACAAATTTTTTTCGCAAACGCTAATCGCAAAACTCTTTTCATAAAGACTCATTATTTAGGTCCAATACGATCTTCCATAAGTTTCGTCTAGGCTCCATGCTCTGAAACTGAGATCTAGTACACGGAAAATTTCTAACTACGTCACTGCGTTTCAATTTTAGGGTATGGGTGTGTATATGTATACAGGAAAGATGAACATCCACACTACTCCACACCCACACCCGCACTTGTCACTGCTCTTGAAAAGTTATAGATAGTTCAGCAGCCTCAGGCAGGTCAGTTCCTAAAACTGATATCTTCGGACGATTCAGTTGTTACCAAGAGGAGTGTATAAACTACCGAACACTCTGGCAATGCGGCGACACCAGTGGATGGTGGACCGGTGGGACTGATGGTTCGCCGTTCCCGTGACATCCTTCAATAGTGTATAGTGCTTTCATTGGATCATTTTTATATTCTTTTAGAAAAGACCAATACGTTGGATTGAATAGCCATTCTTTCTTGAATTTAGACGGATAACTTTTAGTTGTTGTAACAGATGATAATGAAGTAATATTGGAGTTTGAAATATTTTCTAGCGATGCTGAATCAACATTAGTTACAGATTTAAGTATAGATTGACATAGAAGATTTTCTCCTAATGAATTTGGTATTTCACTAACGTCATCTTCTTCAAACAAAGACATTCAAGAACTATACTCTGTGTTCTTGACTTTTATCTATGCTTTTACAAGCTGTTGATTATATTTATTTACGAAATTAAATACTTTAGTTTTGAAAAAAAAATGCAGCAGGAGAAATTTATTCTCTTACTATCGATAGTTGCTGTATTAATGAAATACAAATAGTTCTCATTTCTTTTGTTTTTCTTATTGGTTAAAAATGTCGCTAAGAGTTGTGATAAAAACACCAAGAGAAACTCGAAGAAAATGTTAAAAACAGCATCTAGCACCACGAAATTTTTTTATCGGGAGAAAGGCTTAAAAACACCAGGACTCTTCTAGCCAAATCAGGAGATTTGTTCACCCTGATGATCAAGTTCGAATATCGCATATACAGATTTCTTTTATCATCTGTCATATGAAACAAACAATAACTTTCTGCATGTGTGACTCATATATCATTTTCTTAAAACCACCATCCACCTCATATATAACTCTTAACCGTTACGATAAAAGATATCATCAATTAGGGAGAGAGAGAAATAAATGTAATTCGTTCAATAGAGAAAGAGAAATAACAACAATGGATGTCATAGATTTTGTCGTCTACCATAATAGTTTTCTTTTTCAACTGTAGAAAAACACGACATGTGACTAGTAACGTTGATGAATGCCGATAGAAAAACAATTTTCGCATTAAATATAAAGTTTGATGCAAATGTTATTGATATTATATAATGACGTCTAGATGTCTTTTCATTTCTTTGTTTCTGAGAAGGATCCAGAAACGGATTTTCAAATCAGTTGACTACAAGATATCTCAAAAGTCATTCTCACTTAAGAAATAAATTTGGAGACAGAATGTTTTTGTCTGATGATAGAAAGAATATATTTGAATTTTTTGTTTGATTTATTTCAAAATGAATGAAGAAATGAGAAAAACAAAATCTTAGTTTTTCACGATATTGAATAGATAGAACGATAAATTATAAGTATGAAATATTTTATGATTCGATTATTTGTTGACTGTATATTTTATTTTCGACTTAAATTTTGTTGAATACGATGCATTGTTTGATAAAATTCCTTTTTAAACAGTTCTGAAGGTATAATATAAATAATAAAAGTAAGCATTGATGGTACATATGCAATATAATAACCAAGGATTCCGTGATGATTTAACACATCCTGTAGTAAATGAACTAATTAAACGAGGAATTGCTAATGACATTAAAACAATAGGTGATATAAGAAGATGTTTATGAACTTTTTATTATAAATATTGATGAAACTAGATTGATTGAGAATGGAATAATAAAATGAATTATTAATATAATTGAATTGAATATTTGCATAATTGGTGAATAACGTACTTGACATGCATTTAACCAATTATTCATTGAAAAAAGTATTTTCAATAAAGGTTCAATAGTAACACATCGAGCAAGTAAAAACGAATGATCAGTAACTAAATTTGATTGTACTATAAAAAGTAACCAAAAATTCAATGCAAATACACTGATTTTCAATAACGAAATAATTGATGAACCTAGTACATAAATTCCACATCCAACTTCTCGTAATTTCTTATCATAAAAAGTTATAATTGAAAGAGATCCATTCAAAAATCTAAGTATAAACATGATCATTGTTAATATTGCACAGATTGTAACCATTAATGGTTGATCAATAAATGAAACATATCGCTTAATTTCAAAATTTAGAATAGCATCTAATGATAAACTAAATCGTTCATCATAAAATTGGCATCGATCTCCATAATAACAATTTGAACAAACACAAATAAGAGTTGATGGACATATTGGTTTATCTTGAAAACATTCTTCATTATTCATACAATAATCATTACGACGACATAAATATGATTTAAATTGTTTTAAATTAAAACAATTTGCATGACGTTCATCAGTACATAACACATTAAACTTTCATCAAAATAACAATTCAATTCTTTACGTTTATTACAAAGATCATGATAATATTTGACATGTCGTAATGGATGCGCAATTTCTCATTGTTAAATTAAAAAGTTCTTCATAAGATGGACATCGATCAGATGAATGAATATTTTTTTATAGTTGATAAATTACCATTTAATGATGAATATATTAAATAATAATCATTATTTACTTCAACAAATGCAAGATGAAATTCAATTGTTAAACTAAGACTAAGAAAACGTTGATCAATACTTATCTTTTTAACAATAGTTGTACGTGTAGGTTGATATCACCCAGAGAAATTTCCAATTTGCTTCTTGATTGTTCACATGTTGAACCTGTACAATATTCAGTACAAATACATTGAAAATTATTATTTGAATTATCATCATTAATTGGAATACATGTTCCTCCATTTTTGCAAATATCTGTCGTACATACAATAGAAAGACGACATCAAGGTCCGAATCTGTTTAAAGGACAAATGCAAATCGAACGAGAGTTTATCGAGCCAATAGACAATGAATTATTCCAACAATCACTACAATTAATGGACGTTTGACATTGGGTACCCCACCAGCCTGGCTTGCAAAGACAAAAAAGTTCTTCTGTTTTGACATATCTCATACATTTGTGATCTTCGCCGCAGTTGAGAGAACAATTCTTCATTAGTTCACTTTTCTTTGTTGGTATATTAATTTGAGTAGCCAATCGATTAACGGGCAAAAAGATGAATGGAATGGGTAAATTCCAACTAGCATGATAATCAATAGAATTTCTTCTTCGAGTAAATACATCAATTCGTATACTGTAATTATTTGAAATGATTTTAGGTCGTGATGAATATAAAAGATAAATATTGTATTTTATAGGACAATCATATTGGAATTTATGAATTATCTTTTCATACGAATGAATCTCTTATTTATCTTTGTCATTGTTAATCAACATAACAAGTAAAATATAATCTTTATTTAAATCTTCTGTTAAAATACTTAATGTAAGACTAACACGTTGATTTTGATATTGACCACCATAGTAAGAGTGTGGACAAAGACAAATTGGAACAAATTGATTAAAACCAATCGATTGACGTAGACGAAGTCCACGATTGCATTTTAAAGCCCAAAATGGTTCTTCTGGTCTATTTAATATTGAATAAATAACATCTTGTTTGTTTTCCATATGTGTAGTAGAAGATGGTGATGCCAATTTGAAATAATGAACAATTGGATTGTAACTCCTATTTATATTACATAAGAATTGTTCTTCTCTATTGATATTATACGTATTAAATTAAGCACATTGATAAACATGAAACACATTGATCACTATTTGCACAATGAAATCCTTGCAATTGATTTGGATGTTTATCTCGACAAATGGTCATTTCATTAGTAGCACCGAAACAATCGATAATACCATTATTAGTTCGGTTCATTGATAAACATATCATTGTTAAGTTAATTGGTGAAACACAATCATGTTCGAAAGAAGAACATGTTGAATGAAAGCATCCTGTTTCATCACTTCTATTCTCACATGTCCATGAATGATCACAACGGGTATACATATTTGAACAAGGCCATTGTTCACCATAATCAGTCTCATCTGATTCAATTCTTCCATCAATAAGTAAAGGGATCACTTGAGGGATATTGCTACGTATCATCTGAAATGGTATTGATAAAATACGATCTTCATTTGTTGTGTACATAGTACAGCTAGATTGTGACAATATTGGAGACAAACATTTGTTTTCGTTGGGACATAATCGACGATACGTATATGATTGAGTGCATAACTTGCGTTATATAATTCATCATCATTCTCAACACAATCTGAAATTCCATCAATAAAACGATGTTTGGAAATGAGTTTTTTTGAATTGGTGCATTGATAGAGTATTTTACGCATTTGATCATCTGTTGAACTGATTGGTCTTGTATAAGAATGAAATCGTTTTTTAAGTGCTAATACAAATGAATACCATTCTCAATATACCATATTCGAACCAAAACCCATTTCTGAACTCGATCGGCAGTTTAAACCATATATGAAGGTTGTTGGATGAAAATCACAAAATTTTTGATCATAACAAATAAGAGCAGGCATTCATACACGACTAGGGTCGAAATAAGGTTGACTGTTAGTGTAAATAAGACGAACGTGTCCAAAGAGTAACGGTAACTGTGGCAATTGAACTGTCTTTGGACAAATCTGACGGAGAACATCATTCAACATTCCATTGAATTCAGGCAAAACTTCAGTATCACACAGATCTTGATAGAAGCCAAGTGCTTTTGTTAAAAAAAGCATAACTTCTAAACATTTCTGATAGGGAATGGGAATTTCTGACATTTTTACTACTGATTCAAAGTATGCGAGATGTCGACCATTTTTACAACGTTCAAATTCGTTAATACATTGTCCATCTCCACATGAAAATTCTCCTTGACCAACTCGACATGATTGTTCTTCACATCGAAATGATGGATCTTGATGACAAAAATTTTTATTCGTTTGTATAGCAACTTCATCTGAACGATCGAGACAATCAGGATTAAGATGATCATCTTCAAATAGACTTTTTGGAATACATTGTCCTTGATGACAACGATATTCATTTTTATCATCACATTCATTCATTTCCAAAACGAAACGAAAAACTTCTTCAAGAGATTCTTCATCAATACAATCAATATTTCCATCACATATTTCACGCCAGTCGAGACTCATTGGTGAGTTATCTCGAGTACAAGTTAAATATTCATAACACGTCCTTACAAAGCTTATAAGCTCTTTTTCTAATAGTATTCACAAAAAGTTCCAAACCATGGTGGATTGCAATTATAAAATAAATCAAATTCTTCTGATATTAATTGACTATTATCATTAGCAAGAAAAATTTGATAACGCTCGATAAGATCGATTGGTGCTAACCATGAGAGTAATTGTTGAATAGTAGTATTCAATGATCGCAATTCGTTAAATGCGAACTTTTTTCCTTGTATATTATCTAAACTGAGTATCGGAGAAAAATCATTTTCATCTCTTGGATGTTGACAGTAAACAATTGTTTGACGAGGTTGATTTAATGTATCGTCATAGATCACGATATCGTCGAGTACTAAATAATGTAAGCAATCGAATTGCAAAGGAAATATCGATGATGAATTTCTTAATTTCCACTTGGTGTCATAAAGATTTAACTGACAATTAATCAACATCAAAAACAGTAAGATACCAAATAGTTCTACTAAGAGTAACATCTTTCAAATGAGGACAAAGTAAAAAGAATGATTAACTAAAACTATTTTTGTGTTTTTTTACACATTGTGGAACGTGATCATCATTATTTTAAGCATTTTGCTCACGTACGTGATAGTTTCTCTCTTATTTGCTATTATGGGTGTGGGTATCGGTGTGAGTGTGGGTGTGGATAGGTATAAATGGGAAGACTAACACACACATCTACACACAAACTCATTTTATATCATATGATCCTCCCTACAGTCGAGGAAAAGTCAGTTTTTTCGTAAAAAAGCTATATTTTTTACAAAAAAAGAATCAGTACACAATTTTAAGAAACTAGTAGGATATTTGCATTTCTTGTCCCTAAAAACCTTGAGACAAAGTTTATTTTCCATGGTGGAATGAATCACCCAGCTGTTACTATAATCAAACGAACATACGAACGAAGGAAGATAGCTTACTCAGTTTATGACCCTCCTTTCAGTAGAGGGAACAGTTCAGGAAATATAGCAGAGGATATAAGATCAAGTAAATAGGATAAGGAAAAATCGAAAATTGTCTGAAGTGTCAGCAAACGAAATTGAAAATTAAAAAAAAAGGAAGCAATCTGAAAATATGAAGCATAGATCTCTTAGAACTTCATTTATTAAATGGATCATATATACATATACAAATGCTTTTGAGATTCACCATTCATTTGACCTTCTCTATTGCCTTTCCGTTTTTTGGAAATTAAAGTTCAAGAAGATACGAATGGAAGTGTCTGTGACTGCGACTGTTACTTTCCTTATAAACCACACCCACACCCTAGTTTTCTTTTCTCTTCATCTTTCTTCTCACTTGTGTAAACGTGCGTTGTATGTGAAGTAATCATTTTCTGGAGATGTAAAGAAACAAATAAACGTCAATGTCGCAGATGGCAGTACGCAACTCCATGAAATTTATCGTTTCAGACATCTTTCTTCTGTTCTGTCTTTGCGTTTGCTGCTTCATTGTGCGCTCTCAAATACATTCAACCATTTCTTGTTTGTTTACGTAAGAGTATCTTCCATACTGGGTTTATTCCCAGTCGACAGCGACAAAAAAGAAAACATTTCTCCACTGAACCATAGAAGAAAAAACCCAAAGTGGTTGAAATAAAAGTACATCCAAATGGATAAAATGGTCGAACCTGCAACATTCTGACAAATACTACATAGCTACATATATTATCTATGAATACTTTTATGAAGGAACAATGCACCAAGTGGCTTACGTATGTACTAAGAAATTGGTCAGATATAGACGTTCGTACAGTTCCTGGAGTAATGTACCAAGTACTGTGTGGAACTGAGGGGAGCTCTGAATATCGATTTCACTGGTTTACAGATTGTAACGAAACATATATTCACAATCATCAATATGCGTTCGATACGTATTGTATAGAGGGTGAGTATATAGAAAAAACATGGAAGATCATTCCTGACAATACTGATGCAATGACTTATTGCTTTCCTCGAAGATGTGGAAATCATTTGGCTCCGCCTTTGTATGCAAGCGGTGTCCTACGTGTGATTCAATCTCGTCATCATTTCCCAGGTAATGTGCTGCATGTGAATACTGATCGGTATCATTCTATTTCGTCGACAAGTGGTTTAAATGATCAGGTTGTTACGTTTGTAGCAAGAAGATTGGATTCATCAATTCTAGAAAACACCTATATATTAAGTCCTAAAATCAATATTGAAGCACCACTCGATAAAATTCGACCAGCAACACCTGAAGAACGTCTAGCAACATATAACAAGCTTCAACAACTTTTAGTAAAATACAGCTTAGGTATTGGTGTATGATCCAATATAGCCATTCATCATCATACGTACTCTCGATAAGAAGTGTAAGGCTTCGACAATGGCACAATTATACGTACATACTTTATACTCTATTTTTCTAATTGTCTGTCTATTCAGATACTGAACTTAACTTTTATTTTCAGTTTTATTATATCAGACGGCTAGAACTTATGCTGTGGTTGTGTTGTGTGTTTTTTTTTCTTTTTATTATGATGCTAGGTATTATATTGTTTTATGTTCTTTTGTTTTCCTCTGTTCAAGTGTTTGACTTATTCGTCTGCAAGACAGGAGACATCATTAGTATGCCACTTCACATCGCAGAGCAAGAATATTCTTGAAATACATAAGTATAATATACCATATTGTGTGAGTGTTAAATTTATTTCTATTCTTCATTTGATTTAATTCTGTCTTCCTTTACTTGAGTGCGACATTGAATATTGAAATGTACTATTGAAGACCAGTAGAAGAAAAAGAATATAGTTGCTTACAGGGTGTGGGTGTGGATGTGGAGAGATGGGATCTAAATCTCACATACATACCTACCATTCCTAGCTCTAGAGTTGAATTTCTTTTTACAATTTTGATTGGAAGTGATCTATTTTTTTGTTTGTAATTTTTTTCAATGAAAATAACTATACTTTGTCAATTCTCACCGTAAGCAACCGAAAAAATAAAATTTACAAACGTTCCAAAATGTGAATATACTAGATAATCTTGTCATAGTGCATTTCATCTCAAAATAGCATTGGTTTATCGCCAGATGATTTCACGAGAGAAGATAGAATTGAAAATTTGTAAGTGGACGATATAGTTATTCCAAATTTACTCGTCAGAATCTCGTCATTATTGCGGATTTCACAAAATAACGTTGATTACATCTACCCTTACGGGAATAACAAAAAAAAAAAAGAGAAAGCTTTGTTGCCAGACAAAAACAAGTGTCAATAACTTACAGTAAGATCAATTAAATGACGCATTGAATCTTCCTTTTTCTCTCTCTGTTGGCAGTGCTCCTGTTCCTGTTGTTCGCTAACATCAATGTCTTTCTTTTTATAAAGGTTAACAGTTCTTCAAGAGATAAAGATGCTTCATTAAAATGGTAATGTTGTTGACGCTTCTTCTTTCTATACTTTTGTTGTTTGAGTCTGGATTCTTTGTCTTTTCTCTCTCATATCTCTTCAAGAAATTTTTGATTAATGTATATGAAAAGAGCGGTGTCTAGATTATTCAAGCTCTTTATACAAAGAGAAGTACTGGCTATAAGAAAAAAAAAAAGAGATAAAAGAAAGAAGATTATATTACTCAAACGAAAAGAATATTCAGAAACACGTTTATTATATACACACAAGAATAATACGACTACCACTAGAGCCCTGCAGGGTGCACGTAACCTGCCCTGCCCTGCCCTGCCCTGCCAGGGCAGGGCAGGGCAGGGCAGGGCCAGGTTACGAAATTTTTACAGGGCAGGTTACAGGGTAACACTGTCATAACCTGTTAACCTGCTATTAATTGATCGAATCAAATATTATAGACATCTTTTGAAAAATTTTACACGAATGAGAATATCGAAGTGTAAAACAACATCAAGTTAAAGAAAAGAACTGATAACTGAATGTGATTGGTTGTAATAGTATTCAACAATCTCATATGTCGCTAGTGTATCCTCTACATATAAGCCTGTTTAGTTGTACATACAATTTTCTAGTATTAAGATTTAAATAATTGTTTTCGTTTTAACTATCATCATTAATACCTAAAGTCATTATAAATATCATCTTGGTTTATGTGTTTCTAAAATATATTTGATGTCGAATTCAAAGAAAAATATTGAATTGAACAAGAAAGAGGTGATAGAAAAACTTAAAAGAGGTGAATTTATTGCTAAAGCAGAAGCACCATCATCATCACACGGTATGTTTTGGGAACACTTATTTCGAATCAAGTCTTCTAACAATGAATATCAACCATTTGTTCAATGCCAGTTATGTCATGATATATTAGCATATTCAATAGCAAATGGAACTTCTACAATTAGTAATCATGTTAAAAATTGTCTCAATAAATTAAGTAAACCAAAGAACAACAAAATTCTTGATGATTTTTTATCAAAATCTACAGAAGTTAATGTAACTGTAAATGATAAAAGATCTATTACAGTTGCTTGTGCCAAATTTTGTTCATTTGATCTTAGATCTTTCAATATTGTTAAAGGCTCCGGTTTCACGTCTTTTTGTCAAAGTTTACTTAATCTTGGTTATCAATATGGTTCAGCTAAACTTGGTGTACCTTCAGCAAATTCATTATTACCTGATCCAACAAATATTTCTCGTACTGTTGCTCAATTAGCTGAAGAGTATCGAGAAAAATTAAAGGATATTCTGAAGAAAGATTTACAAGAAGTTAAACTTGTAGGAGTATCCACAGATTATTGGAAAAATTCTGGTACTGGTGAAAATTATCTAACAATAAATATTCATTATTCAAAAAATGAACAATTAGTCACATATATGTTACGTACTTCTTTATTTGACCAATCAAAAACTGGTGAAAATACAAGAAAAAAAATTTTTTCAGTATTATCTAATTATGACATTGATCCATATAATTATCATATTGTTTATATCACTGACAATGGTTCAAATCTTATTTGTGGTTTACGTAAGTTTCTTACTATACTATTTTCTTTTTTTATGGTTTTTTTTAGAAGGTGAGGTGCATCTTCGGTGTATTTGTCACTGTCTTAATTTGGCTTTACATAATGGTGTTGATTTATGTCCAAGTTTGGAATTATTAATTAAATCTTGTCAAGGTTTATGTACGCATTTTAAAAGGTGTGAAATGAATCAATTGTTGTCTACAAGTTTAAAATTGAACGTTGAAACACGTTGGAACTCAATTCATGACATGATGGAATCCATATCGATAAGTTATCAAAAATGTGAAGATCTTCTACTTGATCGAAATGAAACGTATTATTTGGATGATATTGATCGTAAATTAATACTAGCTCTAGTTAAATTTTTATCATTATTCAAAACTGCTAGTGAACAATTATCTGCTGATACAACACCTACTCTTCATTTAGTTGTTCCTTGGTTTACAAAATTAAAAAATTCATGTGAACAAAAAGGTGATGATCCATTACTATTAATTCAATTTAAAATAGCCGTATCTAAAATGCTGGATGAAAAGATTTACTTGACATCTTTACATTATATAGCTACTTTCTTATATCCAGTTACGAAAAAGCTTTCAGTAAGTTTTCTTCAGTAATGCGTTGTTCTCTCTCCTGAAATCTTGTTTTTAGACATTGAACAACAAATTGCGAAATGAAATTTATGCTGATACTCGTAAAATAATAAAAACTTTAGGTATACAACAAGAAAATCGGTCGACAATGTCGACAAAAACAATTGATGTTGTTAATAATTCAAGAAAAAAAAAGAAAAATGATTTTTTTATGGGAGATGATGTTATGCAAGAATTTGCAGGGGAAATTGATGAAGATTGTGATGACAATTTGGATGAAATTGATCGTTATATCAACACAAAGCTTTCTTTTTCAAAAGATGATACTTTGTTAGGATGGTGGAACAAGCATTCTTTAATATTTCCACAACTTTCCCTATTGGCAAAATCAATATTTGCGATTCCTGCAAGTTCAGCTACATCGGAACGTATTTTCAGTTCTGCAGGTCGTATTTTGGAAAAAAGAAGACAATCATTGAAACCTGGTGTTGTTGATGATATTTTAATGATTAGAAACTTTCGAGAAATTTAGTATTATTTCTATTTGCTTTGTATTTTGAAACAAATTTAATTAAATAAACTTACGAAGTCGATGAAAAGTTATGAGGTTTTTTGTAATATCAAACATAGCAGGGCAGGGCAGGGCAGGTTACAGGTTATGAAAAAAAGTCTCAGGGCAGGGCAGGGCAGGGTATGCAAAAAAATTCACAGGGCAGGACAGGATGAGGTTACAGAATTTTTACAGGGCAGGTTACAGGTTACGAAAATTCTACACCCTGCAGCCCTCTAACTACCACAGAATATATTCATTCGTGTACTCTTGCTTTTATCTGGCACTACTCACACATCAGACTATCTACACTCTTCCTTCTTGAAGTCTCGAGGACGAATTACACCAACGCAGTCTATCGGGATGTGAGTGTGGGTTTGTGATATCTCTTCATCTATACGCACACACACACAGATCCACATCCACTCCCAATCGAATAAGTCAATGATTTTCATTGAGAAAACGATATTCTTTGTTTTATAAAAATTTATTTTTTTTTTCTTTTGCAGACTGTATCTCATTTAGAAATAGAGGTGCAATAGATTTTCGAGTCTAATGCAATAGCTGAGAAATTTCTTTATTAACATATAGCCAATAAGATGAAATTTAAAAATTTAACATTCACCATAAACTTTTGCTTAAAATATGGTAGTAATTTCTTTAATTAATGAATATTTTATTTTATAAGAAAAATATAAAAACAAAGTCAATATATTTCAAAATATAGAAGCAATGTCCGTTTCAAAATATAATGCGTCCCACTGTTTTTTGAATAACTCAAGAATGCAATCAGCTAGAGATCTGAGGTTTTCACCAATCGAAAGAAGAGACAGGGGGACGTCTTTTTCTCCAATATTGTATCAGACAAAATCATTTTAGAATCAGTCATTTCTGCAAAACATTGCAAAAAATGCATGAAAACGACCCGGCATTCTGAAGAAATTTTCCTTTTGTCATGTGATCTAGATAGAGGGACTTCGGATCTATACTTCAGGATATAATTCGAATGATTATCTTACCGCATCCTAACGTTTAGCAAATAAAATCGTCTATTTACTCGCAAGAAAACTATGAATTTCTTTTAATTTTGGAGCAATTTTTTTTAATTTTGGAGCAATTTTTTTTACTTTTTGTCAAAATTTCATCTGAATGACAGACCATTTTTTCGATGTTATGCAGAAATGACTGCTTTCAAAATGATTCCGTCTGATACGATATTGAAGAAAAAGACGCTCCCCGTCTCTTCTTTCGATTGGTGAAAACCGCAGGCTTCTAGCTGATTGCGTTCTTGAGTTATTCAAAAAACAGTGGGACGCATTATATTTTGAAACAGACATTAGAATACCTCATTGGAGACCGAAATGAGTGCGCTTTCTGATGGAAAAAAGATTAATCTATATAAGATTACTAGGTATTATTCGAAGTAAATTATTATTTGGAATTTGAAAATTAATTGATACCATTGTAATAAAATAATATATTGAAAATACGAATAAATATTTTATTTCAAAAATAACTACATAGTACAACTCGATTTTATACTCATCCATCTGTATCTGAAACAAGAGCTTTAGAAAATTATTATCAAAAAATTCCTAGATACAATCAATCAATTCTTTTTCTTACATAGACAAACGATTCACTACTACAGCGACTTATTTTTTAAAAAATTAAACCATATTTGTTTTTCTTACAATAATACAACCATAACCGATGAACAAAAATTATGTTTTATTAAAATTGGACGATCATATAATGGAGAATTATAGAAAATGAAGAGAAAAATATTGACAAAATCATTCGATTCATGAAGTTTCTCCATCCAAACTAAAACAATCTTCAGGTGTTCGTTATTCCACATTATTATATTCATTTGTTCTGTTCTTGTTTTTAAACAACTCGTAATAATAACTGAAGCATATCATTTATACATATATATTTTGTTTCGTATTTTTATTTTGTTTTCTTTACCGATCCTGTTGGTGATTTATACAATAGAAGCATTGATACACGTTAATGATTCGAAAGTAATTTACCTAATGTTTGCATCTCATTTCAAGATGTACCTTCATCAATAAATTTTGATGTATTTTTCAAAAATATAGATACTGAAATAAATATATCTAAAACAGCTTTTATTTAAAAAAAAGCAAATAATTTATCTTCAAATTCATGTTGACGAATTAAAAATTAAGAAAATGTAATAATTAAAGTCATTAACAACTTGATTTCCCTATGGATAATCTATAAGCAATTGAACTTAATAATCATATATTAAATGAAATAAAATATAACATATAACATTCTTGATATTCAATTATGTAAACGAACAAAAGCAATAATCTTATTCAATTTTCTTTAATTGATAACAATATAAAATCACAAGAAAATCTTATCGAAATGAATTTTCACCAATCAATACATTTATTTACACATGGAATTATTCTTACAAATAAATGAATGACAGCACTAAAAATAGATTAGATTTCTCATTATTTTGCATCATGAAATAGTTTTCTTGAAGATGAAGTTACTGGTAATATTCATAAAGTTCTTGCTGTTTATTAATCTTAAATATCATATAAAACAATTCTTAATAATGATGAAAAAAGTGCTCGTAGTAGTGATATCGAATGTAAATTGAACAAAAATAATCAATGAGTTTTATTACATGTTTATTTTATTATCGTAATATAAGATCATTTTTAAATTCAACGAGATAATTTAACAAGGATTACAAAGAATCTGATCAAATTCATCATACAGTGATTATACTATTAGAAAAACGAGTTAATATGCATACTGGAAAAATAAAGATTCAACGAAATAAAATAAATTAAAATTTACTTGACATACAGCAGAAATACGAATAGTATCGTAAAACAATGAAATAACTTAACTATTTAATGAAAAAAAGTTAAAGACACATACTAGTCATTTATAGTATAAATGGCATAATTTCCAAATCTAAAAAGTTTATATTTATGCTTTGAATTTATTTATTAATCTTTGCATATGATTGACTTTAAGTTCGGTAGTATCTTAAGAAAAAAGAAATAATTTTCAAAATAAGAAAATATTTTCTTACATCAGATAGCATTACTAGCAGAGATTTTTGTACATAATTTCAAAATGTTTAGTGTGAATCATTTTCAATAAAATAGGTTAATTTATAATCAATAAGATAATAACTAAACGAAAAAAAAAAGAACTATCATAGATTATTGAAACATGTTTGTTTAGTTCTTTCAAGTATTAAGTGATTAATTGTATGATATTTTTTTAAAGTGTACATAAATCAATAAATTTAATAATTGAAACTTTAGTATTTATTTATTTGCCTTCAAGACAATTTTGAATGCAAAGATTAAAATCTTGGAAATTTCTTTGAACAATAATGCACGAATAACATTATGTACAAGATGAATTTATTAAAGAAATAAATGTATCAACATATGAATAAGAATTAATAACAATGATCATTATAATTTTCGACTTCAATATATATATATATTTAAACTTAAATAAAAACTTAACTTTAAACGCATCAAGTTTCTATGGTAAAACCATCTAATAAATAAATAAATTTAAAATGCAACAATATCTTTTCAATGTATCATAACAAACTTTTCCATTATTTGTTAACAAATACAAGATTCATACTTATCTGCTGATTTTTTTTTGCAATGCATTTCAAATAAACTTACATTTGGGGACATTGAGTATTCATTTCAAATAGAATACATGTATTACAAAGTGGATTTATAAAAGATTCAACAAGTTCATGATCATGTTAAAAATAGAGTACTTACCATTTATGCAAACTTTTAACTAATAGATGCACAAGGGAACTATTTTCGTAATGCAAATCTATTTAAGAAGATTATTAGAGAATTATATTTGAAAATGAATAAAATTTACCAGCATTTTCTGCTTTGTATTCAATTGTACTCTAATATACAATGAAATATTATGTTTAAAGAAGAAAAGAAAAATTTGATTTATATTTCCATAGATAATAGATTTAACTGCAATTAAACGATTATTAACTTTGATTTTCGATTTCTTTAATAAAATAATGCGATCATACAGTTAAAAACTTAGCAATTTACTGTCGAATATTATCAAGAAAACCTTTCAATCGATTATAGTATACCTGAGAGTTAAAACTTATATATATATATATGGTGACAATTCCAAAAACAAAATCAATCAACCGACATAATTCAGATATTAATAAAATAGGTCCTTTTTTCGATCGTTCGTCATTCTTTACGAGATAGTTTAACAAAACGTAAGAGTTGTGTTTCATCAATAATCTTTATTCCATAACGTTGAAATTAACTTAAATAAATATTAGAATATCAATGAAAGGAAAGATAATACCTTCATAAAGATTTATATTTTGTTTAAAAACTAGAAAAAAAAGAATGTTTAAACACGTTCAAAATCGATTTCTTTTGAATCAAAGTCATGATATGGTTGACCAAGAAGTCGTAAGCCATATATTTCTATAAAGTTAATCAGTGTTTCTGCAAAAAAAATATAGTAAGGGTTAAATCAATATGTAAAAATTCTTGTTTATTATGTGATAAACTACTAAAATGATGTTCCTAGAATCAAGGAAATACAAGCTTTTGACATATATAAAGGAGAAAAGAACTAACTTGAGTAGTAGAATAATAATATTTCAAATGAAAAATTTAATTAATTTATATTTTCAAAAAGTACTTGTTGACGTATTTTTCGTATTTTAATTAAGTTTTCTGTTAGGAGATGTGATGTTTATAAGACGACCTTTGCCTTTGTTTATCAGGAGCTAACTTTAACATCGAAGTTGTTGTCGTCGTTACTTATGTTGAAGTCTTTAAAAATAAAAAATAAAATCTCCTTCACTGTTACGTCCGATTTGACATAATTTCTACTCGAATACAGACCATTATTTTCATTGTTTCGCTTTTATTAATTAACTTTCTATCTGTATGTAAACAATCATGTGAATAGTTAAACATGTTCTTATCATATAGCTAACTATTATAAAGTGGTCTCAAACACTACTCATTGCAATATATTTAAAGAGAGAATATTTCAATTCAAGTCTTTTAAAATTTTTATTATTGATCAAGAACACCATCAACTACATCAATATCAGTAAGATTTCAGCCTTTCTTTGATGTTAATGTATTTTCTGCTTTTCCATGTTGTATAGTAAATTCAACGTTACTCTCTGGATAATCAATGTATCTGACTTTGACATCATCCGATTCATTACAATGAAAGATATTATTGATATGTTAAGGGATGGGTGTTGTTTTAGATTCATCTGCACTCACTCCCACCGACACCCAGACTTACACCCCAAGTCCTGGTTCAATACACCCACCCATTCGCATCCTCATCGATTTTCAGCAAAAGTGTGCCTTGAAGATCAGCACAACACTGGTTAGACATCTATTCATACTGTTAAACTAGCATTAGAAGTAAATATATCACGTTTATTGAACTGTTAGGGTAGTAAGTTATTTAGAATGATAAAATCAATACAGTGAGATAAATTGGTTGAAGATAAAAAAAAGTAATGAAAATTTCAACAATTCAAATTATATGTAAAAATCTAACTACGAACTTTCAAGTGTAAGATACATTTCTTATTCAATGATAACTTTTTCTGTTGCACATCGACCAAATTTTTCGGGCGAATACATTTCTTCAGCTTTAGCTGGTAGAATGATAAATGTTCCAGCACATGTTGCACGCATTACATAACTCCATTCATATACATCAGACCCTAATAATGATCGAAATGCTTCAGCACGTTCATCTCTGAATTTTTCATGTTCAGTCCAACCAATAGTTGAACGTGGTCGATATTCATCATAATGGTAATTTCGTTTTGAACTTGTTACTGATGGATTTGTATCATCTGTCGCAATGCCTTTAATTTTGTATTTGATGGTTCACAATCAGCTGGTAAATAGTCAACTAATGTTATATGATATTGTCGTTGTGTTGTTGCCATTGTTAATATGACTCTGATTTTTTTCTGTAGTTTGAATTTCCAAGTTCCATCTGATTGTTTCTGAACATGTGATGGATCATCGATAGCTGTGTATGTGCGTTCAATTTTAAAACCATAGTTAACATCATTTAATTGTAGACTTGATGGAGCATAATTCATTGCAATACGATAATATAATCGACCATTACCAATGTTTGTGTATGATTAGATACTTATCATTATTGCCCATGTTGTATGATGATGACGGCGATAATATTGCTTTCATCGGAATATGTATTGTACATGTATTTGTCGTTCGACTTTTATATTAAGAAAAGAAATCATAGATAAGCCATGATCTAGAAAATTATATTTCGTATTGATCTCAATTTACGAAAATACTGCCATATATGAATATGATAAGAGATAGATCATCTATTTCTTTTGATTCCATTTTACCTTTATATTGATGTTGACCACAATAATCATTGTCATACCAAATATTAGCAACAAAATCTGATGTATTTTTTTCTTTGATACGAAAATATTTATCTAAGGCAATTAAAACAAATCAATTTTCTTGTGTTGATTTCCATGCACCTTTCACTTTATTTGCTTGTAAACCTTTACATAATTTAGTACAAAGTATAGAATATGGATCAACACATAATAATGACTCTAATAAAATAGCGTCTGTTCTTTGATCTGAATATAACATCACTGATTGACCATCATCACCATGTGATGTGATAGGGTGTGGATGTGGGTGTGTATTTTCGTTTCGGGGTGTGTGGGTGTGGGTGAAACGAAAATAGACACCCACACCCACACCCAAAATGTTCGAACACTCGTCTCGTTTGAAAGAGTTGTTGGGACTGAAGACTTCTATGGAGCACTTTGTGTAAAACAGGGAGATATTCTTACTACTTTGAATTTGCATGTGTGGGTAAAGAAATTAATCACATCCATATACTCTATGCTTGTGATGATCATTTGGTTATTTTAAATGCATATGATTACCATAAGAGATAGGCTTGTATTTATTTGAGCAATAAAAAATATAGAATGAGCAATAATAAAAACATGATTTAGCAATAATTTTTGAGCAATAAAAAATGTTTATTTGAGCAATATTATAATATAAAATGAGCAATATTATGATATTAAATGAGCAATATTTTGACATTAAATGAGCAATAAATAATTTATTATATAACAATATTAATTTCATATTTGAGCAACAAAAAAAGATAGAAGTGAATTATTTTTATTTATAATTTACAAGAAACAAAAAAGAAAAATGGGTGTGGGTGTGGGGTAGACATCGGCGTGATCAACATTTTTTGGTCACGGTCACGATCAGTTTGGTCACGGTTACGGTCACGGTCACGACCGTTGCCATCGTGACCGTGAGTCACGGTAGCCATGCCAGTCTCTATACGAACGACTATTTTCTTTTTTCTCAAAACAGCATACCCTTCTCTTCCGATAGGAGGTCCCTATATTAGAAGGCTTTCCATAATAGAAGACCCCCTTGGAGAAATACGTGCGAGACTTAGTATAAGACTTTATTCAATTATCAAATTTTTCGAAAAATGACAACTTCAACCACTGGATTTACATCATAATATGCTTAGTTTTCAGAGTTTTCAGCTACAAAATTTAACTAAGTGTTTTCAACCTTTTATCTAGGCTTTTAAAATCCGAAAAATTCCTTCTCAAAGCATCAAAATCGCTTTGGCTTTCTGAACAATTTTTTTAGTTGCAATCTGTAGAAAGAAAAGAGACATTACCCAAGACCCTCTGGAAAACTTTTGGGACTAGACACAATAGAAAACCTCGGATCTTGGGTGTGGGTGGGTGTGGGTGTGGGTGTGTGAGTGTGGGTGTAGGTGTGGGTTCATTGTAGTTTAACACCCACACCCACACCCAAGAATCAGAAAATAGTGTGCTATGAGTTGTGCTTGAGTGATGTATAAAAGTTATATATAAATTTCATGAGGATAAGAAAACGTTTATTGTTGTAAAAAAATGAGTTATTATTGCCCTTTTATATACATTTTATGCTTCATTTTAATTAATTATTGCTCATTTCATGGAATTATTGCTCATTCCATCTAATTATTGCTCATTCAATATATATATTGCTTATTCAATATATATATTGCTCATTCTATATATTTATCGCTAAATTTGATTATTGCTCATTCTGTATTTTTTATTGCTCAATTAAATATAAGTCTAAGAGATATATGCAGAAAAGTTACTAGTTAATTCAAAATTGCCTCAGATATATGTAGTGTTTCCCGCCATAAAGGAAATTGATTGTTTCTTTTTCTTCGCCAGTTTGGATAAAATTATTTAGATTCTGTCTATAGTTCAATGTTATTCAACTACAACTAATTAAAATAAATTCTTATATTGTTTATTATGTTTATGAATTAATTGTTATAATAAAAGTGTCAAAGTCAAGCTTAGATATGATTACGATCATCATGAAAATTATTTAATTGATTTCTATTGAACGATTTAAAATTCTTTATTCGACCATTTGGATAAAGCCATCTTTCTAAATTATTCAATCTTCCGAGATATTCAATCACATAAGCAGCTGCTTTGACATTTTTTTCAAATGCAAACGGATTTATATTTCTAATTCTATCGCATTGTTGATGGTAACATGGATCATAAGCAGCGTTAGCTATTCCACCATTTCCTGTTCCTAATAATGCAGCATATTGGTCTCGTTCAGTAGACGGTTTAATTTCATCAGTCCCGGTATTGATTCCACCAACTGCTATACCTGCAGCTAGAAATGGAGCATAATCACTACCACCTCCGAATTCTACTTTGCTCCAAGGAAGTTTTTGACCGTCAAACCATTGCTGATAGAGATTCGTAATTCGACTTGTACCATTAAGAGCTTGAGCAGGTGTTCCTAATGGAACTAATGAGCTGTCTTGAATACCAAATTGATAATTCGGACCGGCTAACATGTCATAATTCAAATTCACTAGGTAATCCTGTAAGCGTTCCCCGTCAGTGGTTGTGTTTGGCAAAGAAGCCTGTTGAACATGATATAGAGAACCAAGAAGGCCAAGTTCTTCAGCACCCCACCAACAAAATCGAACACGATATGAATATGGTGAATAATGTAATGAAGATGTTTGAAATAAACGAGCTAAATTAAGAGCTAAAACTAAATTACCAATTGTTCCACTACCTAAATATGAACAGAGAGAACAATTAGCATATCGATGTCATCAACAATCTCTTATGAGAGGCGTACATTCTAAAAAAAGGTTTCTTACCAACCTTAAAAAAGGTTAGGCAAGCTACTAAACCAGAAAAGAATCTTCTCTAGGACACGCGGGAAGAATCTTCACTTCTGAACCTTTTTAGATCCTGTATCCAAGAGAAAGGTTGGGTATCAAATTTACAAAATGTTGAGGATTCCGCAGAATACCTAGAAGGTTTAACACGAAACTTTGAGAAATTTCAACTAATCTCTTAAAGCTATGCATTTTTTCTACGCAACCTTTTTCCAGTGGCATAGAGCCTAAAAAGGATCAGAAGTGAACGTTCTTCCCGTGTGTCCAAGGGAAGATGCGTTTTTGGTTTAGCAGCTTGCTAAATCGTTTTTAAGTTTGATAATAAGCCTACTTTTTTTAGAGTGTACGGAGAGTCTCGGTTGAGAGTGGGATTCAGCCAGTAGTGTAGGTACTTTCTATAGAAAAATTTTTGACTTTGTCTAAGAAAATGCCAGTCTTAATACGCCCCCAAGTGAATGTGACTTGCCCGGATTTGGTGGAAAATCAAAATATCGAATGATCTGTGACACGAACAAAGATATCTCAGCTAGGTTATCATCCAGTGCAATTTCTATCTTTAAAAGATTGAAATTAGATTTTAGAGAAAAAGTGTTACTCTTTAAACAAAGCATAAATGAATCAATTATTAGTAATATTATCGTGGTTAGTACAAGTTTATAGAGGAAAGTATGTGAGAAGAGCTAAGCAAGAGTGTGAGAATTTGTTCAGGTTAAATTCTACATTCTAAAAATATCGTTGTTTTACTGATCCCTTTTTAGGTTCCGTACTGACTACAAAACCTATAATAGTTCTTCACCTCGATACATGTGTGGAATCTTTGCTACGATACCTTTTGAAGATGATTAAGTCATAAAAAGGTTCCGCGTTGAAAATACGGAGCCATCTTGATTCGAAAAGAAGTCATACTGATACGAGACAATACCATACTGGTGTCGCATTAAACCACCGAAGATTCGTCTAGAATCTTGATGGTTTCATTTTTTCATGACAGAACGTTTTTGTGGCCTACTGATCTTAAAAAGGTTTTGTAGCAAAGGCTCTGCGCGTATATCGAGGTGAAGAACTATTAAAGATCTCGTAGTCACTACGGAACTTAAAAAAGAATCACTGAAAAACCCAGTTTTTTTACAGTATAAAGTATGACGCATGTTGACTGTGAAAGACTCATGGGATGATGAAAAACCCTAACATAGGGTGAAATATTACAAGAGTATGAAATTTGTCCTAGGTTATAGAATGAAGTACGAGAAATTCTTGCCATGCAGAGCCTTCATTATTATTATACGGATTGCGTTTTCTTTCACTTTTTTCGTCACAATATGCGATAAAATTATCAGAAATTTTAATTTATTTATAAGATTATTAGCGTATCGATTAAAACGCATGCCTATACAACACTGAACAATCGCTGCTCGTACATTTTTCTTATTGTCTCATTTCGCTAGTTGAATCATAAGATATGAACCTTTGACCTTCAGTTTGCAATAAATCGATGAAAATTCAGATATCTGGGGAGTTTATGCATGTGTATATCGATATACAGATTGTTCATTCTACCATGTTATTCTTTAGGTGCCAACAAAATAATGTATTTGAAACTATATGTGTCATCTTCACTTATTACTCTGCATGTGTTTGATATATTTTCTCCTGAAGTTTGATTTCATAATATGAAAAACCATGAATTTCATATATCCGAGATTTTTCTATTTCTACATTTTTACTATCTACATGTGTATGAGTCGATATTTTTATTTCGACATTATTATTTTCGGCGTTATTTGACAAACTCAAGTAACCAATTAATTATTCCTCTTTTTTTTCGTTTTCCAGTCAAAAAACGTTAATCTAGAGAGTACTTGTTTCAAATTTCTTTCACACTTTTTGAATCTAATATGAATTTTTTCAACTTGTCTTTAAAATGAGTGGAAATTGGAATGAATATTGGGGTATGGATTTTGGTATGCAAGAAGAAAATACCGAAATGTACACCCTCCTCAACCCAAATCCACGAACACACCCATATTAACACCCAGTATTTATATCGTAGGCATCTATTTATTGTATTTCATTCGTTCGGTTCTCTTTTTTCGATGTTTTCCCTTTTGCTACTGTGAAACATGATTTGAAAGGAGTGTTGAAGTGTATAGAGTAGAAATTTTGGATCCCCTCTCCACCCCACACACATAGACGTAGCAGTCAACCTGAAAGATTCCTCAAGATCGTCGCAGAGGTGACAGACAACTTAGAAAGTTCCTAAAAACCCGTCTAGGAGTGATAGACGCGTTTTCAAAGTGTCGCAGACGGTGACAGACAGGCTCCAAAGTGATCACAGAGCGTGAGAGACGAGCTGCAGAGGATCACAGTTGTGATAGGTGGCCTCTAAAGATAATCACTGACCATGGCAGATTTTGTTAATATAAGAGCAACGACCGTATATCAGTAAGGTCTTATTGGAATAGATGAACTATGCTCTCATTGCAGTTCCAGAGGACTAAGTAAAGTGTTGTGAACGAATATATCCCAAAATAGGTGCAACGAACATAGTTTATAGATGATTAGTAGCAACAACTACATCGTATTTCACATTTTAATCCCATAAGGATTACGCTAGCAGCCTTTCTAATCTTCTTCATTTTCATTTTCGACATTTTCCTTCAATACGTTTCTTACCATTATCATCGATTCCGCTGCCTTCCTTAACCGAATCACTATGTGACCCGACCAAAATTGTTTTTGTTTTATCTCCTGTTTGTGTATCGGCACAAATATTTCCAACTCCATTAACATCACTGACACTGATATCCATTATTACACCTGCATTACCTACTGCATTGAGTAACTCCATTCCTAGATTATAAGATAAGAAAAAAGCTGGAATTGTTGTATTCCAATTATTATTCACTCCTTGTATTGATTGAAAACGATCTGGTGCTGTTCCGTCATTGTAAATAAGCAATCCTTTCGCTTGATATTTTTCAGCTAGTGCAGATTTTAGTTTATTTGAACAATTACCTCGTTTGACTAATGCAACTAAACCAAAAACTGATGTGCTAGTCCAATCAGTATCTTCACAACCTAAATTTAAAATCGGAACGACTGGAACAAATGTTTCAAAATGAGCTGTGGATGACAATAAAATCTGAGTGAAATCTGTTAAATAAACACGATTTGTTAAATTTCCATTGATTTGTGTTTGTAATTGTGGAGTTCCATGGATAATGTAATTTCGAACTGTAAAATATTGATGTTGAATTTTAAAATTTGTATTTTGTTCAAGTTGATTAGAAATATAATCGAGTGTCATATTGAATCCAACAGTTGCAGCTGCACGTGTTCCATTACTTCGATCAGCAATTCTTTGAAGTTGTTCTAAATGTTTCATTAGATCTTCAATTTTTATTTGACTAACTAATGACCATGACTCGCTATTGTCAGGAAAACTTCCACTTTTTGAATCTAGGCGATTAATAACAACACCTAAAATCGCTGCTGCTAGAGCGATTGTAGTGACTGTAAATAAAATTAGTAATCCAAAAAGTACATATAATCGTCTAGTAATCACAACAAGTTGCAGCTGATCAATATCAATTACTTTATTCATCTTAAATAAGAACTTCAAACGTACAATTCTATTCAAAAGGTAAGAAATAAAAACATGTAGAGAGATTTCAAATAATAAAAAAAGTGATAAAGAATATTTTATTGTTCTCCTGCTGACACTGAAGTATGTAGTTTCTGTTAACGAAAAGCAATAAATGGTAACATAATTTATTGCAACAGTCTATTTTTATCACTTAAAATTATCGTTATTTAATCAAATTTTTTCAAACATATCATGAAAATTGTTTCATCTTATAATAAAATAGTTGCGAATATATATCATCTTGTCATGAGATAATAACCATCTCCCTAGTCGACACTCCCTTGAAAAATTCTCGAAAAAAGTGCGATTACTGTAGAATCCTCATTGGAAGCCTGGGGGATTCATTTTAGGCAAAAGTACTTAAACTGCGATTGAAGACTTAAGTCAAGAAGAGTGTATCAGGATGCGGTGTGGGTGTGGGCGTGGCCAACTGTGGTTGTACTCGTTCTCTTAGTTCACACCCACAGTCTTAGGGTGTGGGGTGGGTGTGGGTGTGGGTGTGCGTTGTGGGCGTGGGTGTTGGTGTGAATGGATGTGGGTGTGGGGTGTGGGTTTGGATGGGTGTGGATGGGTGTGGGTGTAGGTGTGAGGTGCGTGTGTGGGTGTAGGTGTGTGTGGGGTGTGGATGTGGATGTGGGTGTGGGTGTGGGTGGGTGTGGGGTATGCATGGGGGTGTGGGCGTGGGCTGTGGGCGTGGGTGTGGATATTCATCTAAGTGGCCAGATCGCTCACACCCACACCCACACCCGCACCCTCAAGATTAGAGTGAAGGGCATAGCATTTGGTCAAAGAAACGAATATCTTTTATAAAATTCTAACATATAATATAACAATATTGTTCTCAACCTTTTTCAGTTATTTGATTCTTTTATTTGAATATATTATTCATTCAAAATTAAACTTTTCTTCGTTTTAATTTATCCTTAGTTTAATTGTTCTTTTTCTCTTAGATAGAATTGTTTTCGTAAAAAAAATCTTAGTGAGAAAGAATTAGACAACGCGTGACAGCTCCCACTTCTATGAACGCGTTCTTTGTTTTATTTAGAACTGCATCACTTTATTGCAGGACTATGTTGCCGACAGTTTTATATCAACATTTTGTGGAATTGACGGATATGATTAGAACTGGAGCAATTATGAATTAGTGTGTGCAATAAAATGAGATGTTTAGTGAGAGAAAGTCTTTCTAAAAGTAGTCAAAGATCAAAATCAATTCTATTCTTTGATCAAAAATTGTCACATGTTTAGAAAGAATTAGTAGTAGTTTATATGTTGAATATTTGCTCAATGTTGAATCAAAGTAATTTCAAAACTTTCTTTAGATTTTAGATGAGATAGAAGTAAAAAAATTTTCTCTAAAGTTTACATTTATTAGGTTTTTCTTATTAATATCCTATTAGACTTTTTTTTTCAACGATAAATGAAAATCAAATTTCAAAAATCTTACTTTTTCATTAGAATAAGTCGGAAGCATGAATTTGGTTTTTTGATGTCAAATATAATATTGTACAAGTGATTAGAATTCTTATTTTAATTCATCATCGATATTTAATAAATGAGACTCATGATCTTGTCTCTTTTCACATTTTTTTATTTAAATTTGTCGAATTCTTGCAGAATAAAATAAGCAAAAAAATCGGATCCACTACTTTTTCCATGATATTTATTTTTAGATATTTCACTTTATTGTTATTTATCAAATGACGACTGTTCAAGTTGATTATCATAAAACTGTAAGTCAACAATAAGCATCTTGTTTTATTCAGATTTTTATTTCAGGCCTCGCAGCGTGTGTACTTTCCTGAGTTTTTCCTGAGTTTTTAAAAGTGTCCTGATTTCCTGCTTTTGACTGAAAAACCTGCTTTTGTCCTGATTTTTCAAGATTTATCTCTATAGGACCACATATACGTCATTTTGATGTTTTATTTTGTTATACTCAACGTTTCTTAAAAATTTTATGAAAATACTTGTTGAATATTTTCTATAAAAAGAAAGATGGTACTCAAATTTTTTTTCTGCCCATTTTTTTCTTGTATAATCACTTTAAGAATCGATTATTTCGAATTAATTAGTTTTTGAAAGAAGCTATTTTATCATTAGTAATTATCACCAGTACTTCGGCGGTATTTATATCATACAGTTCACGACCGTGGGTAGCTGCATTAAATCTTGTATTCCCTTATTTTAGCATTTTAGTCGATTTACCAAAGTTTTCTTGTAAACGCTTTTATTCGTTTATCTATAACATGGTGGTTTCATATGTGCGAAGAGCAGGGATATGAAGAAGAGGAAAAGTAGCAGAGAGGGGAAGGAAGTGTGATGCAGGGAAATGGTTTGAGTGCCGAAAAGATGGTTATAGAACCTGAAACACTGCGAAAATGTGAATTTTTCTTATTTCTTTTTACGGCTATTTTCCTGATAAAAATGCGATTTCTACTAGAAACAAATAAGACTCCAATAGTGAAGGATGCCCCCTTCCGTAGGCCACGTATCTGAGAAAAAGAAAACGTATACACAATGCATAATTAGAGATAGCAAACGAAAAGAAAAAAAGCAGAACTCGAAGCACATATTCGGCGAAATATAATATAGTAATTCCAATGAACTAGGCTGTGGGTGATGGGTGTGTGGGTGTGGGTGTGTGGGTGTGGGTGTGGGTGT